CGATAAAAACCTTGTTGTGTTGCTCGTCGGAGCAGCCCCAGACCGGCTCCAGCTCCTGCGGCGGAGGGGACGGGGATGAGCACCCCCGGGCTGTTGTGTGCTGGCCGACTGAGCATGTACGACTAACGCTAAATCGCTTTCCCAACCACGCAGCCGGGACGTGCACCACCAGCAGCTTTTGTCAGAAGAGTGCGCGGAGACTTGCGTAACTAACCCAAATCCAGAAATCTCACGGATTTCAGCTGGCAAAGGCTTGGAGGGCCCCGCGCTGGCCATGGAGCGCGGATGGATCTCACGTAGCTGAACGGGAGCTTCCCAATGGGCATAGTTCTTACTCCAGCACCAAGGGTCACAGAGGGGATAAAAAGCAGTATCAGCATGTTCTGTCGTTAGTTCAGACGGAAAGAAAGACCCAAGGACCACGCCGACAGGCGGAGAGCGCAGCGCTGCGCCCCACCGGCTCCTCCCGGGCCAACCAGCTGATTTTGGGCACCAAAGTTCTCTCTTATTCGGCGTCGCAAGGCTCAGCTGAACCGGAACACTGAAAAACTGATGGTACCCAACGCAGGGCCTGGGATGGAAGCGAAGGAGGGGATGGAAGCATGCCGAGGGCAAACTGGCATAGTCGAAGGCCCCCTGGGCAAGCAGGTCCCGGTGCTCCCGCAGGTCTCCGGTCCCAGGGGCCTGCGCAGTCACCCGCGGGACTGGGATATGATTGTGCTCAGCTCCCTGGAGAGGGCCCTTTTCCCTATTCCTGCTCTCAGCGGCACGCAGGCAGCATGCCGTTCTGTTCCCTGCTCCGTAGGGGGGGGGGAATCCTGAAAAGCACTGTGCAGCACCACTGTACAGCACAGCTGGGATACTCGGCTGCATTCGGTGGCTTCGGAAGTCTCAGCAGCTTGGAAACAAATACTGCCTAGGTTAACATCCTCACAGTGGCTGGTAGTTCAAAGAGGCTGAAACACCCTCCTATTAAACCCATTAACAATCCGTCTCTCCTGACCCCTTCCGCACACAAAACGCCCCCCCGAAGAAAATAAAACCAGGAATAAAATAAATAAATAAATAAAGGCATTCCCAACACATTTATTTCTCTTTTCTCTCTCGAATCAGACCAGCTTAGAGACGCCACCGTCACCTACCTGCACCAACTCAGCTAGCGCCCGGAGGAACACAAACTGCCTTAGACTCGCAAGACCCGAATCGTCAACGCTCTCGTGGTCGCTCGGCTGGTTCCGGAAACCTGTCCCGAGAGCTGGCGATGTCCACACCCTTATTCCGTTCCCACGCGTCAATAACTCATTGGCTATATGGAAAAGAAGTGTATCCAAAGCACACGATGGCACGTGAAGGTTGAAGAAAGCGTCGGTAAAGGAGCATCAAGCGACAGCAGTCGGTCAGCCTACTCTACCTAAACGTCGAGCCGCTGCGGAACTCCTCCTCCAGCCCAACACAGTCGAACTGCGTCACCCCCTCGCCAAGACACTCTCGTGTGGTACGTTACCGGCACTGGATGTCAGTCTCTTACGGTAGATACATGCACGTTTGTCTGTGTGTTTACATACAAAAGGTCTGATAACAGTAAAACATCGTTCAGAGAGATATAAAAAACCCAGGGAGTTGCATTAGCCAAAAAAAGTGTTTTGTGAGAAACAACAATAAAAATGATACAACCACAGCTTTTCTTTTCTTTAAAATTAGATAAATACCCAAAGCTATGATTTCACTTGGGGCCTCTGTACCTTGACAGGGAGTCCAGTGGAGTATATCTGAAGGCACTTAATATCCTCTACTCAGCTGTAAGATGGTTGCACAGGGAGCTGGGGAGCTCGGGATGTGATCTGGGGCACGGAGGAGAGAGACGGATGAAAAGAAGCCCCGAAGAGCTGTGATCCACACAGCACCAGGCGCTGAAATGAAAACAAACGTACAACCCAGGTTGGGGAGAAGGTCTCTCTTGGAAAAGAAAACTGCCAGTTGCAAACGTCTTTGTGTTTCTATGGACAGAGCACTCCATGCAACTCCGACAGCGCATCATACGCTCTTAGAGACGTTTAGCTTCGTCAGTTCGTTGACCTCCTCGGCTCCCGCTTCCTCACAGTCAGTTTTCTCCGCGGCTTTGCCAAACCTGCACCTCTCCTCTGCCTTCACCGCATCCTTCTGGAGCTTCTTGGCGGAAGGAAGGACGTCCTTGGTTTCCGAGTTGTCTGTGCCGTGGGCTGTCTTATCGGAACTCTGTACAGAAGGCACCAGGTTGGCAATCTCATCCGTCGGAGATCGCCCAATGCTGCCATCCACTTGAACCCGAATGTCTGGAGATATAGACAACTGGTGATGCGGCACGATCCCGTTGTCCATGCATTTTGGGTAGAGGTAGGTCTTCATCTGACCTTTCCCCTTCACATTGACCGTGCCCCTATAGTCAAAGTCATACCCCATCTTGCTGAGGATGCGGTAGCTCTCCTCACTCACCTGTATGCGACACTCGACACCGGTGGTGTCCATCCTGCTCGCGATGTTCACAGTGTCCCCCCAAATGTCATACAACAGCTTGGTGGTGCCGATGACCCCAGCGGTGAGAGGGCCGTGGTTAAAGCCGATCCTAAGCTTAAAATTGAACCACAGCATGTTGTTGTTGAAGTCATCCACCACTCGCATCATTTCTTTGGCAAATTCAAAAAGGGTCTGCAAGTGTCCGTGGGGATGGTGGTTGTCCTGACACTGCGAGGTGTTCAGTCCCGAAGCGGCCATGTAGGTCGCCCCAATTGTTTTGATTTTCTCAATGCTGCTGTAATGTGGTTTGCTCAGCAGCTCGTCAAAATCCCCGATCAGTTCATTCAGGACTCTGTAGCACTCCTTGCCTCCTTCGTAGTTCTCTTCATAGAACTCACTGAAGTTGACAATGCTTGCAAAGATTACTCCGCCGCTGTCGTGGTTTTTGGAATAGCTCTGGGAAACCTTCAACTGCTCGGCCACGTGGTACGGAATAATATTCCGCAGCAACCAGTCAGCTTGATCCCTCATGCTCTGGATCTTGGTGCGATGAAGATCGGCCTCCACGTCTCCATGGTAGTGGAGGCGGTAACTGACCTCGAACTCTCGATTCAGAAACCAGACCAGGAGGAGCAGAAGGAAGGACACCAAAATCACCTCCTGACCGATCAGGTCCGCTGGCCTCTTCGTGGCGTTCGGCGCCGAACTGTTGCACGGACTTTTTCTGGAGCTGGAAGCAGAAGAAAGGGAAGAACACAAAAAGGTGCATTTAAAAACACAGAGTTAGGGCGCTGCCGTTTCTGTTCCACAGTCAGAAATCCTTTTCTAGCAGCACTGTACGTACAATGCTAAGTTGTAAAACAGGCTTCAATAACTTTGCCTGCTGTTAAGCGTGCTCAAGAATTCATTTCATTCGTAAGCTCTCGGAGCACATCCTTGAAGGGATGATCACCTGCAGCCACGCAGAAATTCCCAGCCTGTACCACAGCCCTGGTCGTAAGGACTTTACCAAGAAAACAGCTACCGTTGTATCTAAGTACGTAACTAAAGGCACTACGCGTAAATACGTACATAAACCCACCCCAAGTGCCGGCGCGCGTGTTCAGATCCGTGCGTGCACACGTGTGTCTGCGCCCAAGCTTGGCAGAATTAATCCTTTTTGGTGTTCTAAAGCAGACATTCAGAAACGTCTGCTTTACCCACTCCTGCTTCAGCCTTCTCTGCTCCTCAGAGACCAGCAAGCTTCGCGGTCACGCACGCAGGGACGAGACGCCCCGCAGAAGCGCAGGTCTCCTGCGCCGGGGCGCCGGGTTGACTTTCCTGTAGGCTGTAACCGCTGAAGCTTTTTACGGCGGAGACAGAAAGTTTCTCCAAGTGCCAAGATTTATAAAAAGTCACGTCTCGCATCGACTGAGCGGAACGTTTCAAACCCTCCTGACGCTTCTCGGCTGCCTGTGCAGATCCCGAAGCACGGATGGATGCGCCTCCGGGGCCAAACCGCCCCTACCACGGAGACATCTGCAGTCTACAACCTCGGCGTTCTGGGGAGACACAGATGCACAGATTGCTCTGCAATCCCAGAGCGAAGCCTAAGCCCAGACAGGTTGGCACGCGGTGCTTTCTGGAGACACCCAACCGCAATTTTTTGCTATCAAATGATGCCAAAACTTGAGATTTGATATGAGCAGACACACGCGGAGGTTTTTCACGTGAAGAGATGGTTTGATAAGAGAAAGCATTGCACAACCTTTCCCCTTGGAAAAACAGGAAGGCAATCTGTATCTGAGTGTCTGTCTGTCTGTCTCTTGGGAAGGTATCTTAGCAAAAGAGATGAAAGCTCAAAGCACAACTGCAGCGACAGCTCGAGAAGGCTAGATCCGTTTCTCTACTAAGTTCAATCTGTTTCTTTACGTCCCTGGGGGACCCACTTCCACTTCCGAGACCGGAGCAGGCGTTTCAGCCACTCCGTGGTGCTACCGACCCAGTTCCTTTTTCTGATCATTGGCAGAAACGCGCGATGAAGCAAAAACACCGCACAGCTGTCGAACAGACGCATGCGGCCAATCTGGGGACACATCTGTATATGCTGTGGTGTTTGGATCTATTCCCTTTTATCACAGTAAGCCTAGGGGAGACAAAGCTTCCAGGAAGTAAAATACAGGTTGAATTTCAGGTTAAAGCCAAGATTGCGTATTATGTTGGAAATCACCCTTTTGTTTTCAACCATAAATATGTTTATCCCTGGAGAAGTGAGACGGTGTGTTCACTTTACTGGTTTGATATTAAAAAACCCACACAGGAAGAACAAAAGGAGATTACCCCCGACCCACAGAATGGGTGCCACAACCAGGTGGTGCGTTGCTGTACCCAGACCTTCCTTTCTCCCTTATGACGACTTTTCTCAACGGAACCTCTGATGTGAACCTATTCATTTTCTCCCAGAAAGACAAGTCAGAGACTAAGACAAAGGCCGAGTTATGAATGACCAGAACGGCAGCAATTCCTGAAACACAATCCTCGCTACCTATTTTGCAGGTGGGAAAACAGCCTCCCGCTTCGATGGGTTTATAAGACAAAGTGAGGGCAGGATAAGGAAAAGATCTTCAAAAATGAGTAAGGCTGGAGAAGGTGAGGAATGAATCTCAGATAAGGAGCACTATTCAGGTTCTCCAAATAGCTGGGTATTTTCCATTATCCTGTGGGAAGAGATCTAGAGGGGCTGAGCAATAACATGTTACTCCTTTGAGGGTACGAGTTTGATCCAGATAATCTGCTCCAACATCAAGCATCCCCGCCACAGGGATTTATTTAAGTCATTAAAGGCTTTTTGTTTACAGTTCACTGTACAAAACGCTCCTCAAAGTACTCTAATTCCCCTTAAATGAAGTGGGCAAGCCCCACGAATTTTAGGGTAGGAAGTGGCTCGTGCTGAAGGCAGGATCAGCCTTCTAAGAAGAACCCGCCGACCCCATTCACCTCTCCCGAAGCCCCGGCATCTGCGAGCTCTCAGCCATCCCCTCCAGGCCCGACCTGGCTTCCCCCCGGGCGCAGCACCGGGACCTGCAGGTGCAGGGAGCGACTCCCCTGCGAGCTGCCCTGGTTTCACTCAGAAGGTAAGGGGTCAGGGTCTCAAAACAGAAGGTGCAGTAGCTTTTCCAGCACGGGCGTTTCTGGTCACGACGCCACTGCTGCAAGCATGAGCGCAGAAAGCCGCGGCGCCAGCCCGAGGAGGGGGAGCGGTTCCATCTTACTCGGTCAGAAATCACATTTCTGGACGCTGTGGTGAGCAGGTCACACACCTACAGGACTACAAATCACCTCCCAGTCAGTAAGCAAAGATGACCCAAAGCCAGCTTTTAGAATGAAAGGAGTAAGACCCCACACACCTTCAACAGAAAGGATCACCCCCCCCGATCTTTCTGAGCTCTACTTTTGATGAGGTGCTGCAGCAGAAAACTGATTTTCAAAACCATTCGGGCTGAAATCTTAAGCCGACAACGTTCCTTTAACTCCAAGTGGTGAAGAGCTTCCTGGCACAGACACCGAGCTATCCGCTTGGCGTCTTCATCCGGGCTGCGCGTCCAATACGGAAGAAGTGAGAGCTCCGGAGACAGAATCTCCTTTGGCTTGATCACAAATCATACAGATAGCGGCTTTCCACTTAGAAAAGACTTTTGGAAAGCCATTTGGCTTCCGAGCCAGTAACCTATGTTTGCATTTGGATCTCTTGCTGCGTTTAAAGCGGAGGCGTGCCTGCTCAGTCTTGACAAAGCATGGTGGAGCAGAGCGGGAAGGGGAAAGCAGACAGCTGCTTTTGATGAAGAACACAGAGTGGATCCATATAAACACCCCCCTCCACCCCCCACATCAAGCGCTTTTACTCTTCCACCTCGTGGCCTGTCACTGTTCCTCCTCCAGAGGCCACAGACTGGAAAATAATAAACCCTACCTGCTCCGGGATAAGAAATGAATGAAATGGAGAAACATGCCCTGCTTAAAAGACCAAGTTCGTGGTCATCTCTCTCTTGGGCTGAAGAACTGGTCTGTCTGGAAAACAAGGCACATCCCGCACCCTGATTTACTGACCCAGCGTGGACAGGCAGAGACGAGCGCGGGACTAAGACTCCGTCACCGTTACCAGCAACTCCTCCCACGCAACGTTAACGATCACCTCGATTCCTGATCAAGAAAAGGGAACAACCTCATCGAGGCATGCAACACAAGTCCGTTTGTCTGCCCCTCCTGGAACACAGGAAAAGCTTTTGTGCCGGCGGGAGTGAGCAAGGAACCTTTTTTAGTTATTCCGGCGAGAAAGGAACGGCAAAGCCGTTTCTTAGGATAAGGGAGTTTCACCTTTCTACTAGTCCACCACGGGAGGAGGGGGGAATCCTGTTTGCACAGAACTCTAAGAGCTGTGGTATTCGGTAACACAGTTCCTGATCAAAGCAGAGACAGCGACCAACCAACCTGACCAAACCGCTGCCAGCGCGCGGGAAGGGCAGCGCGACACAGTTCCAACGCGCGCGTGTGCCACGGGCCTTTTTAACTCCCCCCGACAGAAAGGCAGTCAGAGTGCAAGTCTTGCACATCTCACAAGAAAAAGTTTAAGACAAAGTTCACAAAATGTTTAATGAGGCAGGAATGTTGGTCACCGCCTTACTTGGTATTTAAATCACAAGCTAGGATTGGCAAAGCGGGGGAGCGCCCTCCACGTCTGTTTGCAACATCTTCCACGAGGTTCGGTTTCTTACCCGCTTTTACCTTTCTTTGTCCTGAGGTAGAAGTTACATACTTATGGAAGAAAAACAAACCGTGCTCGACAGCTAATTTTTTCCCAGATTTCTAATAAGCAATGACGTCACTGAATGGAAGAGTGGTTTGTCAATTATTTAGGGCAGAATGAATCATTTATTAGTGATTAGCAGCTGGGCAGGAGCCTGCTATGCTGCTGTGGGTGCTGGGCGCGACGCCTGATGCCGAGCAACGCAAAAGGTTCGGCGACTTCACGAACTGGTAATAAAGCAGTGAGGACCGAAGTCAGGCTAACCCTACAACATCACTTCCGGCCATCACCATGCTGGAGTATTTGGGACTTTTGTACTTTGGTGTTGCATAACATTTCACAAAGTGCCTTTTCAGCACATTCCCTTCAGTGACTGACTTCAGCCCTGCTCCCCAGTTTGTAATGAGCAAACGTGTACTCTTCTAACACCCGAGACCAGTGAGAACACTTCAAAACCGGTACTGTGAAACTCGCAACAAAGCCGTAATCCGAGGGCACCTTTAATGTGTTTATTTGTAAGGGGCTGTTAATAACCCAGGAGAAGATTTTAGTTACTTTAGAAGTCTGGGGGCTGAAATTTCCTTTGCTCTCCAGGACGCGTTATTCTGCCAGAGCGAGCCGAGGGTGGCAGCCAGCACCCAGACCGGCATCGCCACCGTGTCTCCGTCCCTGGGATATGGTTTAGCTGAAGCTCCTCTACCACAGGGAATTCTCACCTGGCCAGCTGTGGATAGCATCCAACTCAGCACGCTTCTGAATGGTGTAAATCAACCAAGGAAATCCAATTAATACCTCGTGAGGGACAGATAATGCTCTAAGAACTGCAACTACTAGAAGAACAGATGCTATTTTATACAGCTCCTTCGTAGTTCTATTTCCTAGAAATCAAATCTAGAAAGAAAACAGCATTACACAGCCCAGGGACGGCAGCATCAGCTCTCTGTTGATTCTTGGTCATTCCCAAGTTCTCTGTAAAGGAAATAAAGTACACAGGGAGTTTTGAACCGATGTGTGGAATTCCCCAGTGGGTTATACTGCGGATGCAAAGTTTTGCTACATACAACTGACTGAAAACGTTTCTATCCCTAAAGATGGTGATTTTATATAAAGCTTACCTAAAGTTCTGTGCCAAATCTAGAGGAGAAGTGTCCACGGAGCTGAAAGAAAACAACATTGATGTCAGAAGGAAAGTTAAAGCATTCTGCCAGAATTGCAGCTCGCGTTTACCCTTTTCTATTACACAGATGGCAGGGCCGATAGTTGCACTGCACACTGCACCAGCTTCCGACACACTGTTTGAACGTGGCTGATTTGCACTTTTTGCCTGGGAGAAGCAGGCGCAGGCAGACCCAGAGACACAAACACCTCCAAAGGGTAACAGATGATAACGCTGCCAGAGCGATGCCCCGAGCGAGCAACTGTTAAACAATCCAATCTTACCTTGGAAACACAGAAAAGCACTTTCAGAACTCCCAAACCCGGTTATGCCACAAAGATTTAAAAATAAACAAACCCAAAAAAACCCCAAAAAAGCAAACCACAACCCTTCCCAAAAGAAAAAAACACCCAAATAAAAACACGGAGCCTGTTTTTGAAAATGCCACTGCAGGAAATAAGCAGTTAAAGCCATTTCTGTGTTTACTCGCATTACAATTTCTCTACCCCAATCAAGTCTCGCAGCTCTCAGGACAAGTTACTTTGGGGAAAAGGAAGTAAAGAAGCCTGCAGAATGGATCTGGCTGTGATGCGCACAAAGCTGCAATTACCACGGCAACAAAAAAACCTTTAGCCAGATTAATGATAAGAAAGGAACAAAAAGGTGATTACAAACAAAAGTGTGGGTCTCGCTAATTCAACCTGTATTATTTCTGTCCGTGATCAATTCCGTAAATCCCTTTCTCCTTCCTGCAGACGAACAGCTCTGTCTATTACCTTAAATATTTATTTTTAAAAGATGAAATAACACCATATTCCAGGACTTCTGGTCACCGCTGTTCAAACCACAGGTGAAAATATGCCACTATTAGCAAAATTTCTCAAGGTAATGTTTCTTTAACATTCAGCCACCCCTTTAGCAGTCAGCAAAAGCCGCTGCTATGAACTGAGACAACAGCAAGGTCCCCACCTCCCTGCTCAGGAACAGCCTTTCCCAGTCCCTTAATAAAGTTGAAATGCAGGGAAAATCCCAAGTTTTGTGCCTGTCTTTCTGCACCAAGTCTTAAAACAGAGCTTAGGCACAAGCTGATGCAGCAGTCACACGTGTCATTTGTTCTAAAATCTCATCTTTGAATAAGGGGTTACAGTTACTGCACCTGACTGTCTTCCGTGACAAAACGCCTTTGACATGGAGGCAGGGAGGTCTGTCCAAACAATCCCTGAAGGGAATGTCAGCCCCTACGATACCTTTTTCAAGCTCTGGCTTCGCTGCCTGCCTTTGCACAAAGACTTTCGCTCCCACAAAACCGTTGTACGACCCTATTTCAAAGGGCTCTGCCGTGAAGCAGCACGCAGTTACGCCACGGCAGCGCCATGCACGCACGCCAGCACGCAGGCATCTGGCTGAGCTGGAAGGAGCCCTGCTCGGGGGAGTTGTGGAAGAGTAGCCAGGGAGTCTGGAAATGGCATCAAGGGTTTGCTCTTCACAAACTTCCCTGGAAAACCAAACCCCGGCTCTCAGTGAAGGTGGTGGTCGGACAGCGCCAGCGTTGCAAGGGAAAACGCCAACGGGTGGACAAGCAGCTTTCCCAGTGGGAGAGGGTCACTTAGTGTGCTGGAGCAGCCGACGGTATCGGGGTAAGCTGGACAACTAAAACCGAAGGGACAAATCAGAGGTGAGAAAGGGGAGGCATCCAGAAACTGAACACTGCATCCCTCCACCGAAGCTAGAACCAAGTGTCCTGCACTCTCTGCCCGAGACAAGAAAGGGATTTTTATTCAGTCTAATATGATTCAGAAACTCAGCTGACTCCAGCTCCAAGTTATTTTTTTCCAAGGAAAGGCTTTCTTCCTACAACCCTTACAGCCACTTCCAAATTACAGATGTGACTAAGTGTTAAGGGGGGACTTTTATTCCTCCTGTCTTTTTTTTTTAATATATAAAATAGATCAAGATTAAGAAAGACCACCTGAAGAGGGGATTAAAAGCTAAATACTCACACAGAACTTGCATCTGAAAGCTCTTTTTGGTTTGTTTGGGGTTTTTTCATGTTTTTCACCATATGATTTGGCAACCTTCTATAGAAGGCTCAAAGGACAGAAGGGCTTTTGACAGAAACTAGAATAACCTAGCGTAAGAGGTCCTGGCAGAGTGTCCACTGCGGTGCGAGCGCCAAAGGCTAAGATACTTCTTCAGCCACTGAGAAGTGCCGTTGATTACAGAATGCTGACAATAGGAGTGGATGGCTGGAAGGACTCCCTCCGCTCTCTGGGCCAGGAAACAGAAGGAGAATACTGCAAACAAGTTCTCCTATGGGGAAAATTGCTTATCCGAGGAAAAACTGCAAAGCCTTAAGGTTATTGCACAGAAACTGCACTAACTTGATTCCTCTGATTACTACCTTGCAGCAGCCTCCAAAAAGGCAGGAAAATAAGAAAGGAAACAGTGTATTAGAATCTGATTAAATCTGAGCACCTCTCTACCAGTGCAGTGGAGAATTCCTTGCAGTGGTGGTGGAAGAAAGATACTTGGTCCCTAAGGGCAAAAATAAATCCAGAGGGGTGCGGGAGAACCACTGGGCTCTCTGGCACCAACCACATGCCTCAGAAATTTCCTAATGAAACAGATTTCCAAACAGTGAAAGGCAATTCCATGGGTGTGGCAAGTGCGCCCTAGAAACACATCGACGGAGGACACAGTGTCATTTCAACACAGGTTGCAGAAAAAGGTCCCTCAGAAATCCTTCAAAAGGGAAAAAAAACCCAAAACCCAAACAAACCAAAGCAGAACTCTTCCCAAATCAAATTACTGAGATGTTGGAGAAATTCATGGCAGATACTAACATCCCATGGATGAGACCCTCACTTCACCAGGGGAGAAAAGCAAAGTGTTCATCTCGAGCACGGTCTATGGAAGGCGTGATGCTCACCTGTCTGGACACAAGGAGATGTAGAGCAGGATGAGAAGCACTGCTCCTACTACGGTTGCCAGCAGAGACCGCATCCAGGAGCTAAGCTGGCAGAAGTTACAGTACTGCACAACGGTGATCAGAATCGCGCAACACATAAACATGGTGTACTGGAACAGAGAGAGAGAGCACGGGTTAGCTTCCTCTTGCTGACGGGAGTCCTGCACATCATGGCCAGCGTGAACTAAAGAGCGGGTGACACAAAAGGGAGGGTCTCATTTCGTCTGTGTACATGCACGACAAGTAATCCCCCAGTGTCTGCACCAGGACAGCGCTTGAAGATCCAGGTCTTCCCTTCCAAGAGCAAGAAAACTTTTAGCATGGGTAGTTTGTCACAATTTTCCCTAGATGGAGGAGTGTACTGCTGCATTACACAACCATTACTTCAGTAACTTTCAATACCTTCAGCTTACCTTGGCAAAAGGCTCAGTGCCTCTTCTGATTGGGAAAAAAACAAAGAGAATATCAAAGAAAAGAGGGTAAACACTCATGGAAATCTCCTCTCATTTCTGGGGTGAGAACCTGCCTGTTCTAGACTGGACTGAAACTGCACTGAAAACGTGGAACGCATTCACCCTCAGGAACTTCGCCCAACTGCCAACCCTTCAAAACACTTCTTAGAGGACAGTGTTAGGCTGGCCTGCAGCAGGTGAACCCAAAAAGAAAAAGTCCGGTGTGGGAAGGGAAGGCAGTTACCAGCCACTGACAACTGATGCTCGGTAACACCCCCATCTGTGCCAATTTGAAACGACGATTTCAGATCTTCTGTTCCAAATGCCCTGTCTCAAAAAAAAACAACCCAAAACAAAACCCCACAAATCAAATCACCTTTCCCTTTCCCCTCCTTTACTGGATAAAGAAAAGGACGGGCAGGATGGATATATTCCCCAGAGTGCCTTCATCTCCCAGAAATCCAGTCTTACAGTGGTCAAAACTCTCAAGCTGATGTGCAAATTTTGGTTTTATTGAGGATGTTCATGACCATCGAAGCTAAAACAGAGCCCCCCCAGCCGCATCAGGAGCTCTGTTCTAGCTGCATACTGCCTTTTACAGTATGAAATGACCATTCTCTCCCTTTCTCTCCCCATTTAAATCTCCTTTACAGGGAAGCGCACAGACTGCAGACCGGCAGTACTGTGGCATAACAAATAAGCATGTGATTCAGAAGCAGACACTGTGTATGGGAAAAAAACACCCTTACATAATTCAACATTTTTAAACCACAAGCACAGTTGGTTTTCGGTTTTGTGGGTGGTTTGTTTTTTTTTTTAAAATGACTCAAAAATGGATAAAAGTCATTTCAGAAGTGTCCATTAAAAAAACCCTAATTTAAACTGACTTTTTTCCCCCCATTTCAGGTCTCCGAAAGTGGCAGAGCACTGGTTCTCCCTCCAAGTTATGCCCCAGCATGAAGCCAGCCTCCAGAGGGTCAGGAAGTGCCGTGTTTTACTATGTATGCATGGCTTTGGAAAGTTTTTTTTTGTTCATTGCTGTTTTTGTTAATTTTGATTTTAATTATTTTTACATCAAAGGGAAGGTATAAAATGCTATGAATAAAAAAAAACTTTGCAAAACCATGTCATAGTAAAATATGACACTTACCTGACCCTCTACAGATTGACTCCATTTCCTAGAGCTCCATGCTTGCTGAAACACTGAGCACAAGACGAGCTGGGACATCTCTTGGAGAGTGAGCCAACAACCCCATGACTCTGGAGAACCTGCAAGAGGAAAGAAAGCAAAGTTCACGCTCCATTTGGTGCTGAACACCACCACCTTCCTGCAGCTGCCTGCAGCGTTTAGGCTAACCGCCGGGTCTGGACAGGTATCGAGAATGCACGAATAAAATGGCTCTTCCAGCACTGTTTTTTTGGAGAGATGATCATGGATGGTGATGAATGGGATGATATTAAAAATCAGGGGAGAGACTTGAAAGTTTTCAGCTCCCTTCAATGTGAGGAAACCCCTCCCACAATTAGCTGTCTGGTAGTGACGAGGGAGGAAGGCTGTCATTAAGCTGGAAAAAAAACACTGACAGCTTAAAGTCAACTATAATTGACAAAAGGTAAAAGCTGCAGAAGGATTTTAAACATGGGATTTGAAAGAATATCAAATACACTCCTCTGTGACTGTGACAACCAGGGAATATATGTTTAAATCAGGAAGGACCAAAAAGAAACCTGTGGTCCACACATTGCCATGGAACCAACACTTCCCAACACCCAGCAATAAAGTGTAAAGGAAGAATGAGGATCTGGTTGATATCTACACCCAGGGCACTGAAATAGCCAGAGATCTGCGAAACAGAATTCCCTGAGATCTTGGAAAGGAAGGACCCCACACTGTGCTACCGAAGAGAAACTTCGAGAGAAACACCCAACCCGCTCCAGTTCCAGTCCATTTTTGTCACAAATGCTTTCTAGGCACTGATCTTATGCTTTTAAAAGCTTATGCCTTTAAATTAAACTGTTCTTCTCCCTCCTTCATATTTAACCCCTTGTCCCCCCCTTCTGAATGTTATTATTCAAGGAGACACCAAATCCCCTGCGGACCTTTCTGTGGCTGGGCTAAATATGCCAACTGCTTCCCGCTCTTGTCAAAGACAGCTTATTCACTCCTTCACCCATTCCCGCCGCTCCCGCAGGGTAACCACCCCGAGGTACCTCTCTCCTTTGAGTTTCTCCATCTAACTGGGCAGAGGAACAACATCCACTGCTAACACCTGTTCTCACCACTAGGACTCAGGAATGGGCATGCGACGCTTTTAAGCACACACAGCACCTCTCTAAACCAAAACCAGGGTGAATGCAATGAAAAGCCTGAGATACGCTACTTGCCCTATCTAGAATAAACATGCACAGAAGCGTTGGGTCTAAGAAAAGAGTCTGCATGTAGGCAGGCATATAGGGATATCCCTCGCCTCTTCTGCCCTTCCAAATAAGCAAGGATTTACACTTACATATAGAATCATAGAATGGTTTAGGTTGGAAGGGACCTCAAAGATCATCCAGTTCCAACCCCCCTGCCATGGGCAGGGACACCTTACCCTAGACCAGGTTGCCCCGCACCCAGCCTGGCCTTGAACACTTCCAGGGATGGGGCATCCACAGCTTCTCTGGGCAACCTGTCCCAGCGCCTCATCACCCTCTCCGGGAAGAATTGCTTCCTGATGTCCCATCTAAACCTCCCCACTTTCAATTTAAACCCGTTCCCCCTTGTCCTGTCACTACAGGCCTTTGTAAAAAGTCCCCCCCAGCTTCCTTGTAGCCCCTTCCGGCACTGGAAGGTGCAATGAGGTCTCCTCGGAGCCTTCTCTTCTCCAGGCTGAACAAGCCCAACGCTCTCAGCCTTTCATCACAGCAGAGGGGCTCCAGCCCTCTGAGGATCTTCATGGTCTCCTCTGGACTCACTCCAACCTGACTATATCCTCCCGATGTTGCTCTCCATACACAAAAGCCCTGTCCCTCTAAGGGATCCGTGTCCAACAGATGTAAAGCACGAGGGAGGTGAAGGGAGACACAGGCAAGCAACAAGCTTTGTTAGATCCAAACCGTCAGATTACGAAATGGAGTTCGACAACTTACATGTATATTTGTTTCAAAATCAGAGGTGAAGTGTGAAAAAACTGCAAGAGCTGGGAGAGAAACCAGGATTGCGCCGAAAAAATGTCGAGGCAGCCAGCCAGATATCACCTCCAGGAGACGCTTGGTGCAAGTCATCACCTCCTCCAGAAAGAACGCCATTCTGGAACAAACGAAATCACAGATCGAGGCATTAATTTCAGCGCATCACTTCATACATCTCATTTATCTGTGACAACGTAACCCCAAACGCTTCCCGGAGACCGTGTGAGCAATCCCAGCACATCACACGCCACAGCACCTGTGGGTGTCCTCGGGAAATAATCCACCTTTGCTGAGAGACAGCCGGGGGTTCGCTCCGGCACAGGGTGTGAGCAAGTGGGATGGTGAGCTTGGAGAAAGCAAACCAAACCCCAGGTTTCACTGCCTTGGAAGGTCAGCGCAGGAAAGACCTCTCTCCATTCATCAACATTTAGCCATAAAGCAGGTGGGGAGAGGGGAAGCTTTGACGAGTTTAAAAAAGTCACTTAAACCCACCTCAGAAACGCTTGAAAAGTGGGGCTGTAGCCCCCGCTAACACACCAGTCGCCCAGAGGCTGTGCAAATCCATGCCTACATTACGCTGCAATGAAAACCAGTTCTCCCAGTTACAGGCACCCCGAGAGAAGTTCCCAGTCTGCAGCCAGACTAGGGAAGGGGAAGAGCGGCGTGGGCTGCGAGCTGGCACCCTCGGCAGGCAGCAGAGCCCGAGAAGCAGTTGCGATGAGCACCTCGGAGGCCAGCTGGCACGCTCCCCCGCTCGCCTCTCGCTATCTTCCACAGCCACCCAGTTGGCTCCGCACGAGGCATGCGGGGAGGAACGGCTCTTGCCTCAAGCTGCCGACAGAACGACGGCCCAAGCCTGCGAAGTGCTGAAGGAGCCAACTGGAAGAGCTCTGGAGAGCAGCTGAACACAGATACTTCTTCAATGAGAGCATCTCTAACTGGTAAAACGACAGGTAAAAGGATGCTCGAGGCTCGAGGACATCGCACTGAAACTGTTATTTCTCCACAGAAACAAATCCTTGGGAAAACACGACTCAAAAGCGTGAGTCACTCCAGAAAATCTGCAACTGCTCCTCAAGACGCTGATTATTTTTATGAGACGGTAGAAGGTAACGTAGTGCAGTCAGCTTCCTCCAAAGCCACTGCCTTGTGAACGTGTGGAATTATCAGCATCAGTCGGGGCAGGTAACTGCTGCTGTAGCGGTGGGCTGCAGCAGAGCCCCAGCAGTAAAGAACCACCATATTTTTGTGACCAAGATGCTCACAACTAACAAAAACATACAAATAGAACAAACACTAAATAGCAAATTCACCACGTCCACAGTTAATAAACCATTCCCTATTACCTATATCTTTTAAAAAATGAAAGGTATCCACTGGGTTTTTTAAACACTGTTGTCTAAAAAACTTGGTATTATGCTAGATAAAAACCTGATACAAAATGGATAAAATGTAAAGTTTTTAATGTGAATTTGACACCAATTCCACACCTTTTAAGTATGTGTTGTTTATGAATATTTTAATTCTCTGATCTAGACTTCCATGAGTTTTGTGACCTCAAGCATTTCTCTGAAGCCTCAAGAGCTCGCCTAATTCAATATACTAAAATCTGGAAATTATACTTAAATGCACAGAAAAAGACAGATTTGGGGTAACATGCTGTAATACGTCAGGACCCCACGAGAGGGTGCTCACAGATTTGGCAGTTTCTAGTTTAATGGACTTCCACCAGAAATTACAGCTATATTCCATCATAAAAAAGAATTTGCAACAAAGCACAGAAATTAAAAACATAAAGCAAAATAAAATTTCAAAGAAAGCTCTGCAGAGGGCTTTGAGTTTTCTGAAGTTTTGGGGGTTTCCAAAGCGTTATGTACTAACTCAGCTGCCTCCCGCGCCAGCCACATCAGCCCAACATCGAGTACTGCTGGAAATGCCACCCAAGTTCATGCCTCCAAAAATAAAGTTCAATTCCTCCAAAGCCCAAGGAATTGGGATTAACGTTTACAAGGCTGGGCTGTGAGAAAGGAAAGGGAAGGGGCCCCCACGGCAGAGCGCTCCCCGGGCTCCCCGACCTCCCGCGCTGCCCCGAAGCCCGTCTCTCCGAAGGCAGATCAGCAACACCTCTGCCCACGCTCCGCCAGATATCCATGTGCTCCCAAGGAGGCTGGCACAGAAACCAGCTCCGTGGCACACAGAGCGCGGCAGATCCCTGGTGCAGCTCATGTCTCTCACCCCAACCCACACAACTGGGACTCCATGGTGCTGCAAAGCTTTTTTCGTGAGGGTTTTTTTTTTTGCCAAGCCTCCATGCCAGGACAAATTCCTGTGGGAACTATAGCAACAAATCCATCGGCGAACCCGATCAGTTAATCCTGCGATGAGGACACTTCTTTATTTAGGCAGCTGTGTGTTTCAGAAAAGCTAGTGCCCATTCCAGGACAACACCACGTTTCTCCCGATAACCTGCACTGGTTTTTATTCCTGTATTCGATATTTACCGCAACGCTCCGGAAGGGCAACGACCGAAAACATCGTTCACAGGACAGCGAAAGCCTGTGAATCCCGCACAACCACCTCACCGCAGGAGGAAGTGCGTTAAATCCAGAGAGCAACGGGAGCTGCAGACGGATCTCACGGCTACGGGGCAGCATCAGTAAATAAGGCCGTGTCGGAGTGCAGCTCGACGGGACCCAAACCCTAAAGCATCCGAGATGTTCACACAAGCCGGAGTTCAAATCAGTAACTTTGACATAAATGATTAACGGGGAATGTCACCATCCTTTCTCTATTTACTGGCAGTTAAAATCAATTCCCGCAGTTCAAATCAACAGCTTTTGGCACTTTGGTGGGATATTAAATACCAAAGTCACAGATGTTAGAAACAAAGACAGGCAAACGGAATACGTTGCTCTCCCTTGCATCAGTACCTTCTACCAGTCACGCTGTTAACAGGACCGGTTCGTTAAGCTCTAGTTGCAGAAAGCAATTGCTGCTCCTGGTCTTTAGGAATTTAAGAAGATCCAGCTGGTTGGCCACAGGGTCTGAGCAGTGGACAGACCCTGGGTGTTCCCGCAAGCCCGGGAAGGTGAAGTACCAGGCAAGGGGCAGTTTTGCTTAGTCAGACTACAGCAGTTTCCCATTCTACTGGTTTGATTGTACCTGCTTTCTTCATCCATAAGGTATTTTTTGCCCTCTAGAAAGGTCTATCTAAATTCATGAATCCACTTCTCGGGGGCTCCTTTTTTTCCAACAGGGCTGAAATACGCACTATTCTGGCCGCCTCTCTTCACCCAGCAGTCCTCTCGGAAGGATGCGACACTTTGCTGCAAACAAAGCGTTAACAAGTTTCACTCGAGACCAAGGACTAGATGTCAAAACCATCTAGTTAACAAAACCCCTGTGTGTACAGCTAGAGCGTTCTCGGGGAGATGCCTTTCACCTGTATTCCTGCAGAAGCACTCCTAGGAATCCCACATGAAATCCCACACGCTGCTGTGTGTTCAGCAACACTTCCCAAGGTATTTTTGGAAAACGGCAGAACTTTAGGACCTCTTACCCTTCAACTGAACTCATGAAAGGCAAAGTAGCCGCATTTCAAGTGGGCAGAAGGACGTTCTTTGCACGGCATTTACAGAAGAGATGACATCTCACAAACGAAGCGCCGATTTTTGCATGCAGCTTTATACACTTAATTTTAGAGTGGCACTTGTGATAACAGTGGGATCCTCATCTATAGGTACTCCAGTAATTTATTATCAGACACTTCAGAGGGATCAAAACATCCTGCTCCCCTGAGGCTTTGCTCCACGAAGACTTCTGCTCTACTGGAACTGAGGTTTTACCTCCGGTCTCGTTGCGCAGGCAGCGACAGCGCTCCCCTCGCCCACTCCCGTCGCTGGACGAAAGGTCTCAAACACGGGAGCTGTACCAAGTAATTCCTAGGCTGAGTCCTGGATTCAATTAGAAGTGAGACTGATTTAAAGACGGGGTGTTTCGCATCACGATAATGAAAATACAATGAGAAACTCAGGCAAGAATTTTCTGGTCTTAAAATAATCCCTTTTCCTGAAATTCTGGGATTGTGCCCAGCATTGTAGTCCAATCCCCTCCCTTAAGATATCTCGGTGGTATTCTGTGATTGCCATTTGGGATGACATTTCTGCACAGGAAGTTCTGCACTGTTTCTGTGCATAACGAGCAGCCAGAGTGAGCAGCCTGCATTTCGAAGAGGATTTGAAGAGGAAAAAGATGATTTTCTTCTTTCTGCTCAAGGGAACCATAGGGAAGCGTGTGCCTCAGGCTGTGGAGACCAGAGCGGCCCAAAAGCATGTTTTATGTATTTACTATCAAGTAAATATGTATTACAAGTTTTAAACAAAAGAAACAACCTGCCCTCCAAGCCAAACCTAGAAAATCACCCCAAATATGCCATTGCCATTATATTTAAAAGTGAAAACCTACCAAAAAGCTTCTGAGATTTTTCACCTACAAAGACTGCTCTTTTTTGGTGGACAGCACGAGGCTGCTTTCAAGAACGTACCCTGCGAAAGATCCACTCAGGTCTGAAATGATCCTGTTTTGGACTTGAAGAGATTTACCCAACAGGAAGGAGCAACGCACCCCTCACTTGCACAAGGGCTCCCGTAGCCAGGGATACCTGGGGACTCGATTCCTACGTCTTCAACTGCCAGTTTGGGGAGAAGGCAGCTTTTCCTGCTTCCCAAACTAACCAGGGGAATCTGTGGGGTGTTGAGGCTAATGGTCAGCTTAGCTTCAGTGAGTGCAGCAAGCGGCAGCGAGCCCCCGTCATCTGCACCCGCAGTGGCTGTGCAGGAGTCGGAGTCCCCTGCATCCCCGAAGCTCCTGAGAGGGTCTGTGAGGACAGAGAGAGTCCTGCATGCTGGCAACAGTGTTTTCGGAAAATCTGGCATTGCTGTGCCAGGTGAGACTACGTGAGTTTTGATGGCTGGCTGTGGGCGTTCTCCAGCATCAAGATGTTTCTCAAGCTGTTCTTTCAAGTCGGAACTAAGCACAATGATTAATATTAAAAAATATATACTTCTAAGACTTAGGAGTCATCCTGAAACACTTGCTCTTTTAAACCTCACAGACTTTAAATGAGGCATCCAAGCCACCTTAAAAAGTAAAATGCAGGCTTTAAGCCAACAGAGTCTCAAGAAAACATCAGAAAGGTCAGTGGCAAAACCAAGTAGTGTTAGGAGAACATTCTAAAGCCACTTCAACTCACCTCGGTAAGGGTCCAGGCTCACTACCGCCGAGCACGGCACTGAGCAGCTCAGTGCTGCAGTGAAGCTGCACCTCTGTACAGCCGTACCCATGCAGAAAGACAAAACCGCTTCGCAAATTCTGGACTACTCTGAAAACAACACACTGAAAACAACCACCACCCTTCTCCTTAAGAAACCCCTAAATCACCAATTATAGAACAGGACTGAAATAAAATCTGATGTACATACACATAAAAATTTCTGAAGTCATAGCAATAATTTTTATAAATGTTCAAAGTAAGAAAAGGCAAACGCAATGCAGCATGGGAAAAACAATGGGAGCAATAATGAATTGAAAAATACTAAAATGGAGTAAAACTCCCCTGCAAGGTGAATGAACACCAATTTTCTCCAAACGGATGTGGATAGCAGAAACTTGCTCTTCTGCAAAGAGGTGGCTGAGCTGCTCAGAGCTGAACAAAGTCAAGGATACAATGCCCTGGCCACCACACCCCGACCGTCTGCTCACTGCTGCCTTCTGCGATGGAAGAGCTGCCCGGGCACATTAAACTGAGAAAAAAACCTTCCTCTTCACCCAAGACAGGGTACAGAAACTGCTCTGCAGAGGGGAAAATGCATTTCTGGTGAGAGAGAGAGGCCAGAGCAACAGTTCATCCAGTTTAGGATGCACTAGAATGACGGTCCTACCAGCTCAACCATCTCCCAAGTACAGGTCTTAACACACTCTGAATTTCTAGATTTTCTAAAAGCTCTAGAACTACAGTACAACTCAAATCACAACACCTGCTAAGAAATACTATCCTTAAAAGCATTTCCACTGCTTGTAAATGACCTCTCTCTACTCCTAAATGCCAGCTTTCAGGTAAATGGCAATGTTTATACGCACACTGAGTTACAGCTCGCTTCAGTGACTGAAGTACCACTTCGGTACTTCTGACCTTGACCCTGAGAAGTCCAAGTAAGAGTGCAAACTGCAATCTCTTCGTTCTTCTGACACAACAGCAGAATTGCTTCTAACTTATAATTACAAAAGCATTTTAGCTTACACACACTGGACAGATTTTCAGACTTACAGGTGAGGGGACACGTTTCCACACACCACGCTTATAACGTGTTACCATGTCGGGAGGAAGCGCAGTGAAAACGGGGGATGAGGAGGGCAGAATTAAGTTGCTCTCACAGGTACAGACAAACAAACTTATTATTAGGTCTCATCTGGGTTAATAACAGGTTATACATGGTATCTGTATAGATCAGACAGCACACCCAGGAGATGCATAAGTTTTACTGAATGCACGTACAACTGCAGCCTCCTGCTACACTTGAATGTGTTACTGACTCCTGCGTGTAACGTCCCACCTCACGTAGGAACGGCACAGTTACCACTCGCCGACTCCTTAGAAGGCCTAGGAGCCCAGCACACACATCCTCTGGGTGACTGGGTACAAA